GACTCCTTCCATGGGTGCGCTTGCCAAACGGCTCCGCGTGTCGGGGTGATCATTCTGGGGGTGGATCTTCTGCCTTCTGAGAAGGCCTGCGGCGAGGAGTAGTCACAAAGTCCAGCCAGCTGTGCGGCGATGGGCCGGTCTCAAGAGGGCGCTGCCCCTGGGTCGACTACACGTAAGAGTGACCCTTCGCCGGAGTGACCTTTGGTGCGCGCTCACCGGGGTCCCCCGATCGCCGTGCTCGGTGCGATAGTAGCGTCTTGCGCGCTTGTGTTTGGCCTCCTCGCGCCCCTCAGAAAGCCGCGCACCAAAGGTCACTCTTGCCCAGGGTCACTCTTACGTGCAGCCGACTGGTCACGAGGCGCGAGGAAGTCTCCGTGCGAGAGGCCTCCGCTCGCAGAGGAAGGGCCCTGCGCCCGTGCAGCCGGCCTCCGTCTGCGGTTGGCTGGCTGTGAGCTTCCAAGGGGTCTCGAGCCGACCCGTCCTCCTCCTCCTCCTCCTCCTCCTGCTCCTCCTCCTCCTCCCTCCTCCTCCTCCCTCCTCCTCCTCGTCCTCCTCCTCCTCCTCCTCGTCCTCCTCCTCTTCCTCCTCCTCCTCCTTCTCCTCCTCCTCCTCCTCCTCCTCCTGCTCCTCTTCCTCCGTCTCCTCGCCCTCCACTCCTCGGGTCGCCTGCGGCCCAGGGGAAGCCGTCCACCAGGGAGTCTCAAGCGAGAGCCCAATTTTGAGACGGGGCCACCCTGTACATCCGTGCATCTGCCATGCACTTGCAGGACTGGAAGTCGCTGACTTCGAGGCAGTCTCGGGCGAGAGCCCCACTTTGGAGCAGGAGCCGCCCTGCATCCGTGCAGCTGCTACATCTCTGCGAGATTCTGGTTTCTGGATTCGGGGATATCTCAGCCCCTCCTCCTCCTCCTCCTCTCTCCTCCTCCTCCTCCTCCTCCTCCTCCTCCTCCTCCTCCCCTCCTTGTCCTCCTTGTCCTCCTTGTCCTCCTTGTCCTCCTCCTCCTCCTCCTCCTCCTCCTCCTCCTCCTCCTCCTCCTCCTCCTCCTCCCCCATTGTGAAGCGGAGTCGTCCGCCATCGTTGAAATTGCTTCAGCGTCTTCGGCCGAATGTGCACGCCGCTAGGGCGGGAACACCATTTTGGAAATGAGCCGCCCTCGATCTATGCGGTCAGTCGGGTCGGAAATCTCATGCGAAACGCCTGGCTCGCCCCCAACGACGCGTCTAGTGGTCAGGCGAGGAGGAGTTATCTTCCAGGAAGAGGAGTAGAAGAGGAGGAGGACGAGGGGGAGGAGGGGGAAGGAGGAGGAGGAGGAGGAGAAGGAGAAGGAGGAGGAAGACCAGCGTAATCCCAAGACTCATGAAAGATGTTGGAATATACCCTCCCTCCATGCTCCAACTTCATAGGCCCTTACAGTCAGGTCACTATTGTCGGTAGTGAAATTCAAACGACGACGAGGACGACGACGACCGTCGGACCGACTCAGGACGACGAGCGACGAACGACGATTAGCGACAACGGCGAACCACGACGACGGCCGACTAACAGCGACGACGACGACGTCTGGGGAGTTGAGTCGGGGTCCGTCTGGGGCGCTGGGGAGTGTTCAGTCGGGGGTACGTTCTGGTACATTCGGAGGTTCATTCGGGTTCACTCGGGTTTATTCGGCCCCAGCGGGTGATCTCATACCTTAGGGTTTTGCAGGATTCGGAGCCCGAGGTGGTACATTCGCCTGCAACCGCCCCTCCCTTGTGTAGTACTGAAAGTGAAGCCCCCGTCTCCGGGGGGGGATGGACAGGGGAGAGGGGGGGCTGCGTCCTCGAAGCGCTCCATTTTAGAATTTGACCCTGCCCGCGCGTTCTAAACTTTGACCTCGGCCGTTCGCAGTCGGCCTTCTAGATTTGGCCTTCTAGAATTTTGCGACGGCGTCCGTCGGTGTCGTCGGTCGTCGTCGTCGGTCGGTCGGTCCGTCCGTCCGTCGTTGTATTCGTTGTCGTCGTTCGGTCGGTCGGTCCGTCCGTCGTTGTCTTCGTCGTCGTCGTCGTTGTCGTCGTCGTTCGTCGTTGTTGCTCGGTCGGTCTGTCGCTCGTCGTCCTCGTCGTTCGGTCGTCGTCGGTCGGTCGGTGAGTCAGTCGGTCGGTCTGTCGGTCGGTTGGTGGGCGTTGTCGTCGTCGTTGTCTGTTGTCGGTCGTCGCCGTCTGTCGTCGTCGTCGTCGTCGTCGTCGTCATCGTCGATCGCTTGGTCGGCCAGTGGATCGGTCGTCGTCGTCGTCGTCGTCGTCGTCGTCGTCGTCGTCGTCGTCGTCGTCGTCGATCGCTTGCTCGCTCGGTGTCGTCGTCGTCGTCGTCGTCGTCGTCGTCGTTCGTGGTCGTCGTCGTCGTCGTCGTCGTCGTCGTCTTCGTCGGTCTTTCGGTCGTTCGGCCGCTTGGTCGATCGGTCATTCGTTCGGTCGGTCGATCGTTATCGCCGTCGTTGTCAATCGTCGGTCGTCGCCGTCGGTCGTTGTCCAGTCGTTCGGTCGGTCGGTCGGTCCTTCCGCCCCGATCGATTCATGACGCGTCGCACAGCACCCGCCCCCCCCTCCCCGCCACCTCCAACCCCTCCCCAGCCCCAGCGGTCCAGTGGAACCTCCGCCCAGTGCCACCTCCGCCCCGACCATTTTATTCAGCGTCGCACCGCGCCGCTCCTCCTCTCCCCAGCGTTCCCCCGAGGCCCAGTGGAACCTCCGCCCAGTGTCCCCCTCCGCCTCGGCCATTTTATTCCGTGTCGCACCGCCCGCCCCCCCCCCCTCCCCGCGCCCCTTCCCAACCCTCCCCAGCGTGCCCCAACGGCCCGGTGGAACCTCCGCCCAGTGCTTCCTCCGCCCCGACCATTTGATTGAGCGTCGCACCGCGCCCGTCCCCCTCCCCGCGTCCGTCCTGCCCCTTCCCAGCCCCAGCGGTCCAGTGGAACCTCCGCCTGGTGCCGCGTCGACCCTCCGCCCAGTGCCCCCTCCACCCCGACAACTGATGTTCCGTGTCGCACCGCGCGCCCCCCCATCACCCCTCCCCGCCCCCCTTCCCAACCTTCCCAGCGCGCCCCAACGGCCCAGTGGAACTGTTTCCCAATGCCCCCTCCGCCCCGACCATTTTATTCCGCGTCGCACCGCGCCCGCCCCCCTCCCCGCCCTCCTCCCGCCCTTCCCCAGCCCCAGCTGTTCAGTGGAACCTCCGCCACGTGCCACCCCCGCCCCGACCATTTTATGCCGCGTCGCACCACGCCCCCCTCCTCCTCTTCCCAGCGTTCCCCAGGGGCCCAGTGGAACCTCCGCCCAGTGCCCCCTCCGCCCCAACCTTTTTATTCCGCGTCGCACCGCGCGCCCCCCCTTCCCCTTCGCCCCGACCACGTTATTCCGCGTCGCGTCGCACCCCTCCTCCATCCCAAGCGTTCCCCTGCGTCCCAGTGGAACCTCCGCCCAGTGCCCCCTCCGCCCCGACCACTACATTCCGAGTCGCGTCGCGCCCCCCTCCCCGCCCCCGCCACCCTCTCCCCCAGCGTTCCCCGGCGGCCCAGTGCCCCCTCCGCCCCGACCACGTCATTCCGCGTCGCGTCGCCCCCCCCCCCAGCGTTCCCTCGCATCCCAAAGGAACCTCCGCCCAGTGCTTCCCCGCCCTGGCCAATTCGTTCCGCCTCGCGCCGCGCCCCCCGCTACCGCCCCCGCCCCCGCCCCAGCGTTCTCCAGCAGCCCAGTGCCGCCTCCGCCCCGACCACTTCATTCCGCGTTGCGTCGCACCCCCCTTCCCAGCATTCCCCCGTGTCCGAGTGGAACCCCCGCCCAGTGCCCCCTCCGCCCCGACAAGATTGTTCTCTTGCACAGGGTGTCTAGAGCTCCGACCACTTCATTTCGGCGTCGCACCGCCCCAGCCGCCCCGCCCCCCCGCCCCTCCACCCACCCACGCCAACCACCACCACCACCACCACCACCACACACCACCACCACCACCACCACCACCACCACCCACCACACACACACCACCACCACCACCACCACCACCACCACCACCACCACCACCACCACCACCACCACCACCACCACCACCACCACCAGCGTGACACCGCCCCCCGTCCAGTGCTCGCCACTCAACCACCTTCCGGTCCGAACCGTTTACACACCAACCGCCACCACCACCAGCTTGACACCGCCCCCCGTTCAGTGCCCTGTCCACCCCGCCTCCCTTTGCCCCGACCACTTTATACACCAACCGCCACCACCAGCAGCTTAAGACCGCCCCCCGTCCAGCGCCCTCTCCATCCCGTTCCCCTCCGCCCCGACTACTTTATTTTGGCGTCGCACCGCCCCCACCGTCCCTCCCCCCCGACCCTTCCCCCCTCCCCAGCCGCCCAGAGCCCTTTGTACCCCGCCCCCCTCCGCCCCGACCACTTTACTTCGGCGTCGCATCGCCCCCACAGGCCCGCCCTCTCCCGCCCCTCCACCCACCCACCCACACCAACCACCACCACCACCACCAGCGTGACCACCTCCGCCTCGATCACTTTTTTTCGGCGTCGCACCGCCCCCCGCCCAGTGCCGTTTCTACCCCGCCCCCCCCCGCCCCGACCACTTTATTTCGGCGTCGCATGGGCCCCACCGCCCCGCCCCCACGACCCTTCCCCTCTCCCCAACCGCCCAGTGCACCACGCCCACCTCCGCCCCGACCCCTTTATTTCGGCGTCGCACAACCCCCCGCCCCGCCCCCCTGGCCCTTCTCCGATTTCTCGACCCCTCTCTCTCCCCCCCCTCCTCCTCCTCCTCCTCCTCCTCCTCCTCCTCCTCCTCCTCCTCCTAGTCCTCCTCCTCCTCCTCCTCCTCATTCCCCCTCCCTTTTGTGCAAGAGCCATGGCACGCGTGCCACTTGTTTATAAGGAAAGGGAATGGAAGAGGCCGAAGGCTGCCCAGGGCCGCCGAGAGCGGGCCGAGGGGGGCGGCCCAGGGCCGCCCACCTGCCGCCGATGGCCCCCCAGGTCCTGGAGACCTCAGAGGTCCAGCTCAGCGCCAGCTTCGCGAACGGGTCGGTCAAGACCATGCTGGTGGCCTTCATCGTCGCGAGCGCCGTGGTCGAATACGGCCTCCCGCGGCCGTTGCTGCTGCTGCTGCTGCCGCGACTCCTGGGAGGCGGGGGGATACTGATGATGCAGATGATGATGCTGATGATGATGACGATGATGATGGTGGTGATGATGACGATGATGATCATGGTGGTGGTGGTGATGATGATGATGGTGATGATGACGATGATTATGATGCTGAGTATGCTGATTCTGATGATGCTGACTCGGACTCCCCCCCGGGGATGATGATGGCGATGATGATGATGATGATGATGATGATGATGATGATGATGATGATGATGATGATGATGATGATGAAGCTGATGATGATGATGATGACGATGATGATGAAGATGATGATGATGATGATGATGATGATGATGGTGATGGTGATGGTGATGGTGATGGTGGTGATGATGCCGATGCTGATGACGATATGGACGAGGCGGCTGCGGAGGAGGAGGAGGAGGATGAGGAATTGATCGAGTGGAAAGGGGGCACGGGTGATGACGATGATGACGATGATGGTGATGATGATGATGATGATGATGATGATGATGATGATGATGATGATGATGACGATGATTATGATGCTGAGTATGATGATGCTGATGATGCTGACTCGGACTTTCCCCCCGGGGATAATGATGACGATGCGGATGCTTATGATGATGAGGATGATGATTATGATGATGCTGCTGCTGATGATGATGATGATGATGCTGATGATAATGGTAATGGTGATGGTGGTGATGATGCCGATGCTGATGACGATATGGACGAGGCGGCGGTGGAGGAGGAGGATGAGGAGGCGGAGGAGGAGGAGGAGGTCGGGAGGAGGAGGACGGGTGGAGGACAAGCAGAAGGGATGCAGGGGGCTGTACACGGGTAGGAGGAATTGATCGATTGGAAAGGGGGCACGGGTGTTGATGATGATGCTGATTGGGGGTGATGATGCTCATGATGATGCTGATGATGATGACTATGAGGACGATGATGCTTACAATGATGATGCTGCTGATGATGCTGATCACGATGATGAAGACGACGATGACGTTGACGACGACGATGATGATGATGATGATGACGATGCTGATTATGATGATGATGCTGATGGCGATGATGGTTATGATTGTGATGATGCAGATTTTGATGAACATGATGATTCGGATGCTTATGCGGACTCTGCCTTTCCCCCAGGGAGGATGGCGATGATGATGATGCTGATGATGACGACGACGATGATGATGATGATGCTGGTGATGATGATGATGATGATGATGATGATGATGATGATGATGATGATGATGATGATGATGATGATGGTGACGATGATGGTGATGCTGATGATGACAACGATGGTGATGATGACGATGATTCTGCTGTTGATGATGATGCTGATGATGACGTTGCTGATGAGGCTGATGATGCTGATGATGATGATGATGATGGTGGCGATGATGATAATGCTGATGCTGATGACGATATGGAGGAGGCGGCGGTGGATGAGGAGGAGGAGGCGGGGGAGGAGGAGGATGGATGGATGGATGGACCCGGCATTGCGCTGTGAGTCTGAAGACACTCACCCCTCGAGCTCACGAAACGAGAGATCGATCGCTCGGGGACACCTCTGAACAGTCGTGCGATCTCCTCGGGCCGGACGAGGTCAGGCGTGTGGGCGCGCCGTGCAGCTGTGATCCCCATGGATCCGAGCCGAGCAGGACAGGAAACAGTAAAAAACGCCCGCGGGCGGGGGGTGATACCCCTCTGGCCCCTGGGGGCCGAGCTCGACGGCGCGGAGAGCACCGAGCAGGCTCCCTGGACACCCCAGAGGCCCCGAGAAGGAAAAAAAAGAAACCAGGCCGAAGAAGGGGCCGACGGCGCGCTCTAGAGACCAGGGGCGGCGAGAGCGACTAGAGGGGCCTGGTGCTACAGCGAAGCTGCTGGACTCACGTCGTCACGTAGGTCGCCCATTTCTTTCCGTAGGATCCGCCACCCATGTCAGCCCTTCTGGCCGTAGTGGATCTGGCGGTTCTTGTTTGGCATTTTCTGGGCCATCGATTCCAGGTGGCCCGTCCCCATCTTCTGGCGGCCGCCCACTTGAACTCGGCGTGAGCGAGGTACAGAAGTGGTGAGCTGGGGCTTCGCCTCGGGGAACTGCGCCGCCTCTGAGAACTTCTTGCCCGCTACCCGGGCTACGATGATCGAGGTGGCCGTGGGCGTGGTGTCGATGCTGATCCATTCCGAGTCCGCTAGGTCCCTGAGCAGCTGGGCGTGCAGGCGCACCATCTTGGGGAGGGACGTGACGGCCTGCTGCAGGTCGCGCGTCTTCAGGGCGCCCTCCCGACGAAGCATGATAGTGTCGTAGTTCCAAGTGTGCAGCGCGTGGACCTCGATGATGTCGCCCGCGTAGACAGAGCGGTGGTCTCGATCGTACAATATGTTGAGGCGGCGACCTGTTCCCATGGGGGCCTTGCACTGTCGTGTGTGGGACTCCAGGGCGGACGGGGCGTAGAGGAAGTCAATCCTGCGTGAGCTTCCGTGCGTCCCAAAGAAGGTGTCCCCGCTGACAAAGAAGGTGCCGTGGTCCGAGAGGAACCGTCGCCAGAGACGTCCAGAGGGGCCCTCCAGCTCAAGGAAGGTGCCCACGGCGCTGTCGACCTCGCTCCACAAGTCGGGCACGAGCAGGGACGGGGAGCCGAGGAACGTCTCGTCCACGGAGTCGCCGAGCTGAGGTCCGCCCCGCTGAAGGGCGTGCGGCGACTGCCCACGAACTCCATCATAGTGCGTGCCCACGAGGTCATGGCCTGGGTCACCTGGCGGTATGAGTAGGACTCGGATGGCACGGAGAGGTGCCGAACCATGAGGAGCACGTCCGAGGAGCGGCACTGTCGCGCCGCAGCGGCCCAAGAGCGCCGCGGGCGGAGGGTCGATCAGACGTAGGTGTGCCTGCAGAAACCGCTGATGTAGGAAGATGCTCCCCCCGAAGCTCTTGTTGGTCCAGCCGAGGGAGAGCTCCCCGTGGTAGTCGTGCTGAGAGAGGCTGTGGCGGCCGTCCAGAGTCTGGCGGTGGCTCATCCCAGGGAAGAGGATCTCGCCCATGTAGTGCTCGCGGGTGATCTCCTGCGCGCGGGTGCTGCCCGTTAGGTAGAAAGGGATGTAGTGCTCGTAGAGCCTGGTGTGCGGAGCAGGTTGCGGCTCTCGCTCCTGAGTGCGTCCGAGGGCGCGGCCAGCGCCTGTCGACGATCGGGCGGCCGCCCGCGGCGAGAAGCCGACGGCCGCGAGCAAGAGGAGAGCCGCCATCATGGGCCTCTTGGGCCCCGCGGGCGAGTGGGCATCGCGCGCTGCTCCCCTGGCGGGCGATGAACAGGGTAGGAGGGCCGCGTGTCCCGCGCCCTTCAGCCGTGGCGGCGGCTGGAGGAGGAGGAGGGCGAGGAGGACGAGGTGGTCGGGAGGAGGAGGACGGGCGGTGGAGGACAAGCAGGAGGGATGAAGGAAGCTGGACACGAGTAGGAGGAAGTAATCGATTGGGTATGGGGCACGGGTGATGATGCTGATGATGATGATGCTGATGATGACGATGATGATGCTGATGGCGGTGCTGATGCTGATGATGACGATGATGCTGCTGATGATGATGCTGATGATGATGCTGCGATGATGATGCTGACGATGATGCTGCTGCTGGTGATGATGATGAGGATGCCGACTACGCCGATGACGATGATGATGATGATGATGATGATGATGATGATGATGATGATGATGATGATGATGATGATGATCATGATGATGATGGTGGTGGTGATGATGCTGATGAGGGAATGCTGATGAGACGGGGGTGACGCGACTGCTGCTGATGATGTCGACTCAGGTAACGATGACGCCGACTTGTACGATGATGGCGACGGCGATGATGAGGATGAGGATGAGAATGCTGATGAGGTTGATGATGATGCTGCTGATGACGATGACGATGCTAATGGCCATTAGTAATTAGGTTGTTCTATGCTCATTGCTGTGGTGATGAACACGGTGATGATGAGGATGATGGTGGTGATGATGCTGATGATGATGATGATGATGATGATGATGATGATGATGATGATGATGATGATGATGATAGTGCTGCTGACGATAGTGAGGATGCTGCTAATGATGTTGTTGTCGATGATGCTGCTGATGAGGATGATACTGATGCAGATGCTGCTGCTGATGGTGATGCTGATGATGCTGATGCTTTTGATGCTGATGTTGATGACGCTGATGCTGATGATATGGATGCTAATGATGATGATGATGTTGATGCTGTTGATACGGGTGATGGTGATGCTGATGATGATAATGATGATGCCGATGATGATGATGCTGATGCTGATGATGATGCTGATGCTGATGCTGCTGCTGCTGCTGATGATGATGATGATGATGATGATGATGATTATGATGCTCATGGTGATGATAATGACGACAACGATGATGCTGCTGATGCTGATGCTGAGGCTGATGTTTATGATGCTGATGATGCTGACTGATGATTCTGACAATGCTGAGGCTGCTGCCGTTAGTGATGCTGTGACTGCTGCTGCTGATGACGACGATGCTGATTCTGATGATGAGGATGGGGAGGAGGCGGAGGATGGGGATGCGGAGTAGGAGTCGGAGTCGGAGTCGGAACACCAGAATAAGCAGGAGGATTTGAGTATAATATGCAGGAGGGGTCGATGGGGTAGAAGGCAGGAATAGGGAAGGGATCGATGGGGTAGAAGGCCTGGGTGGAGATGATGAAGCTGTTGCTGTTTATGATGATGATGCTGATGACGATGATTCTGATGATGCTGCTGATGATGCTGACGTTGATGCTGATGATGAGGATGATGATGCTGCTGGTGATTATGATGGTAATGCTGATGATGGTGATGATGCTCGTAATACCAGCAATACTGATGGCGATGGTTGACGATCACGAAGCTGATGAGTATACTGATGATGCTGATGTGAAGGATGATAAATCTG